TTTTCTGTTATCAAGACGCAATTGAAGTCAAAAGAAAAGTTTAATCTCCGGTGACCAGTGAACAAAAATAAATTTACATCGTATCCATTAATCATCCCGAAATAGAATAAACTGCGAATATATGTCATTTAAAACTTTCTTTTATCTCCATATTTCTGACACATAAACGCATTATTCATTTTCTATGTTCGCATGTATCTTGTATTAGATTAGGTTATATTATGTTATATGTAATTTAGACATGCAATGAATTCAACGGAAGTTTAAGAAGATCTGTTACAATGATAATGGGTTTACAGAATGGTGGATATAGGATTAGTGTATACACTCAGATTAGAGAAATCAGGATAAGCGGATTGTTTTAGGAACGTTGACACTTTAGTTGAAATATTTATTTTAATGAAACATATACCCACGGATATATGTATATCATTGACACGTACTGAATACGTAACTCATAGTCAGTCCATTGATTGAAAAACACTTTTATTTATTTATTATTAATCATGAATTTAAATAAAAATTACATTTCTATTTTTACACTCCATGTTTTGTGTACAGGAACGTACATTGATCTTGTAATATACGGACAGTGCACAATTTTAAAGTTTATATTGAAATTATTACCGAGCATGTTAATGCCCCAAACAAACAAACAAACAAACAAACAAACAAAGAGACAGACAAGCCATTTACCGCTAAACCTTCGAGTATTCATGTCTATCAACCGATTTTCACTAAAAATAGTAGTATCATGGGTGTGTAATAGTTGAAATGTCACCTAAACCAGTGCGTTGCTACAAAGAAAAGAACAAAATGTGAAGTGCATTGTCCATTCACCTGCCTATAAACTAAAGATCTATTTCCAGTCTTCAAATACACCAAAATTACAACTTTTTGTATTGGAATGTTTACTCAGAATTATGGATTCATATACTTTACATTATGTATGTTATGAATTTTAGTTTACGTTGGAAGCTGGATGAGAGAGGATCGATTCACTGAACGGAAAAAAATACCCATGTCGCTCTGCTTCATTTTACATTTTGATATTTTCTTTAAATGAACACATGTGAGTATTTCGGATTATTGAATATTGGTAAGCATAAACATTCACTACTGTGTACGACGTAGTGTCGATTGATTGAGTCATCAAGTCATTTTGTAGATTGTTTATAGCTAGCTGAATTGACATTGAATGAACTGGTTTCTTTGTTTAGGGGCGTTAACAAGCTGGGACGAGGGTATATCTTTTAGTCTACGTAGATGTTATATGTTGTAGATGTTTGTGTTTTCTTATCATTCTCAGGATCATCGTCAATCACGTGAGAGGAGGCAGTATTGAGCATTCATATCGTTCTACTTAGCTCGATTATTTTCTTCATCATATCATTTTAATACATACCATATCAAACCATACCATACAATCATAATAGCGTATTGATTAACACGGTCCCTGGTATACTTGCTCATAAATCTTATTTGATTCTCCAAAACCAAATATGTCTAAAACAAGAAATAATATTGCAGTGCTCGGGAAAATGAGGAGTCGTCGTAGTCACCCCATCACTCAAAAAAGTGAAAAGTATTCTGTGTTTATGTCTCGGTTGTTCTTCAATTTCAGGGGTCGTAAATTCTTGCACTGGTTCAAGAGTTCTCCTTGTTTCCCCACTAATCTGCGTAATCAAAAATCACCATAGCATAGCACACCATATAATATCATAGCATAGTATAGTATAGTATTAATCATGTAGTATTATGCCAGGTCTTATTATATTCGACCTTGTAAATTAATAACACATAACTCATATTTTTGTTTCACTCATATGTCGTTTTCAAGTTCGAAAATAATTGTATTTTGTATACGTTATATGTATAAATATTCATTAGTTGTAAATAAAAAAAAACATTTTTAGTCGAAAAGTATTTGTTGCTTGTTATGTCTGTCTGAAACATGTATACGGTTATGTCGTGAGTAACACGGAACTGATAAATGTCAACTTGGTATTCAAAAACGTAAGTGTCCATAAACGTAACCTAACCATTCACGATAGGTGTCTGTAGAGGGCGTCTATTATGATATACACCTCAACTGAGACAAGATGTGCAAGAATACGGTAAGTATATATGCGGATGACATATACATCATGTTTTGTAATATGTTGAAAGTTTAAACTCAACAGAGGCGGTGTTATTACTAAGTATAGTCTTACATTGCACACCCTGTTCGACAAGGAATAAGTTAAACATTGTTATACTTACGTCATTAATTAAATTCATAACACATTCATTTCAAATTTCACAGATTGCGGCGTTAATAGACTTTCAGAACTGAAAAGACAATGAAAAATCTACAGTACAAATCACAGTCCCTCTATCATATGATAGAGGGACTGTGTACAAATATACAACAGAGACTCTATTTGTCTATTTGCGTAGGATCTTTCCATGCTTCGAAATTTTGGAATATGGTTTTGGATGTGCACGTTTTACTAAATGCTTAACAAAAAATGTCCACTATCAAAAGTAATACATGTACTACTTTCTGGCTCGTTACTATTGTTCGATAGAGGACGGTTTTCGTTCAGCATCTACCAGTAAAATATCAGTAAAGGATTCGTTTACGAGTTTCTTTGTTCTCAACAATGCCCGTTTACTTGGATAGAACGTTTTTTTTTAGAAAGAGCGTGCAATGGTATTCATTGGCCATTGTTGTGTCTATACAAAAGGGTTACGTAACACACGTATACTGTGACAATACACAACCCGCAAAAGACGTCTAAAATTCGCCAAATGCACAATATTACTATGAATCTCCGACATTTACTGAAATCCCGAGTCCAAACAGGCCGTAACTGCCGTTAGCGCGTCCCCGAAGTCGTCTTTTAAATATTAGTTGAAGGGCGGAGGTTGTCACGCCACGCATGTGCGATATTTGTGTTGATAAACATTAATTTTCCCATAATCCATTGCACTCTTCTAATGTAAATCACGAGTACGTGTTTTGAGCAATGTGAGCAATGGACCAATGGACTCCTTCGATGCCTTCCAATCACAAAAGAAATTAGTAACGTCTCAGTTTATACTCGTTGGTCTGTGCAACAGTGAAAGTCGCCATCTTTGTTCACATGTTTCCCATATCTCGCGCATGCGTGGAGCGACGACCACTGCCCTTTAAGGTAGAGATGCAGTTTACCTGACAGGTATTTTAATTAGTTAATTGGGAAACCAAGATGACCTCCCTTG